TCTTCTTTATGTGAGGATGCTGCAACATTTTCTTCATGTTTTTAGGATTTCAGAGGCATCATGTGACAAGAGGCAGACCCAAACCATCCTTTGTGTGTTTGACCTCAGAGGTCACAGCATTGTGTTCTGCCTCTTGTTTTCACATTTGTCTCCAACAACACAGACAAAGCTGGTTTTGTTTCCCCTCGGCCATTTTGTCTGAGCATGTTCATCAAATTATTTGGCTCTCATCTTCAACTTGATTAGTTTGAATTGAAACTTGGCAAGAGGCAGTTTTCATCATTATATTTCATCTGGCTAAAATAAACTGATGAGGACGTAGGGCTGACCTGGATTTAAACTGAATTTGCAGCGACGATTAAAGAGATTTGAAATACTCGTTCAGTCAAAATGTTTGCGGTGATGTTTCTTTTTCTTTCTTTCTTTTGCTAAAACAGCAGATAAACAGAAAGAAATGAATTAGTGGCAGAATCGAAATTGATATTGAAAATTGAACAGAAATGTCAAAAACACTAAAAAACTCAAACATACAGACAGCATCCATAAACTACATCAGCCCACAGGTGAATATTTGTGAGGGCTGTTTTTGGTTATGTTTTATAATTTATCCAGAAAAGGGAGTTGGATTTTTGGCAAAAGAACAAGTAGCTAATCAGCTGTTTTACAGTCACTGCAACAAGTTTCAACAGCTGTGAGCTTTTATTTTTCTCAATACAGGTTTTTAAACTAAAGCACATTCAAAAAAAAATTACAATCTGTATGGAAGTTATGCATCAGGGTAATGAAATCAGGCCTGTTTATGGGTTAATTTACATTTTCCTTCTCTGCCTTTACATTTTTGTACATTGGACCAACTCCTTGGTCAGATTGATACTCAAATATAAGTTTGTGATCCCTCTAGAGAGGGGGTGATTTGTTGGAAAATGTGTTTTGCAAGGGCTTCGAAGAAAGAAAGACCCATATAATAGAACCAGAATCATAAAAAGGTTTCTCAATCTTTATGCCTTAACCTGATCCTGAAACACCCACAAATCATTTTCAGCTCCGTCTCCAGACAATGACTGATGTGAAACTCTTATCTACAAGTTTCTCGTGGTGCTTACTCCCTTTCTGCTTTTCATCAGTTTTTGGCACCAGCCTGATAAAGTCACGTCCGACAGAGGGTGTGGGAGATAGAAGGTACCTGTAAAACTCTCATCACTTCCCATTTTCTCTGACCACTAAGACCACATAGATGTGATGACAGTAGCACCTGTAGAGTGATACTTCCTACATTTCACAACTTCATTGTTCTTTTTTTTAACCCTCTAAAACAAAGCAGGAGTGCAATGCAAACACTTTGCAATGGTTTGATTACAAACACTCATCAAAAGGCAGAAAGTGACCCGTTTTACTGTAATGCGAGTGAAAGCAGACCAGTGTTCCCTGTTTGTTGAGTAAAACTCAAGTTTAACAATTTTTGTCTGGGTTCAGTGGCCCAGTTGTTCTCATGTTAAATGTGACATTGTTAAACAGCATCAAAAAATCCTACAGCACAATTCTGTTACAGTTTGAATGATCGGAACATGCGGAAAATACACATTAAGACAAGAACACATGAAGAAAACATACAAAATGACCAAAGTGACCTCTGGAAACCATTTGGAAACCATTCATTAATTAACAGTAGATGTTAGTAATGAGCTCAACCCTGTTTTGATCCATATCTCCTGTGTTGTCCTCATGTCCTGTATACACCCTGTGTCCTCCGGGTCAAAATAACCCATCTTCACTAAACCCCCAATATAAGCAGCTTAATTGAATTTTAAACACCAAATTTCATCTTGCATATTGTCATTCACCACAAAATGTGTGAATACCTGAGTTTTCCCTCTTCAATTGAATTTCTATCACTTAAGAAAAGGAAAACAAAATGTGCAAAAAGGAGTTTTTAATGCATTTTTATTCATCCCAATGACTCAGTTTCTTTTGTTTTTTCTCCAGTGAACAATTTAAGACAATGCACAATACAAAAATATGAAAAATAACATAACCCATTCAACTAATTGGCACATGTAGGGCAGTGTGCAAGTGCACAGCCTTTGCAGATATATTTCTTACACCTGCAGCACACAGTATGTGTTTTACAATCCTTCTTTTGAGGGCAGAACTGACATCTCTTCCTCTTACTTGCCCTAGCTGGGGAAGTGGCTGTGGTAGCTGGATCCTCAGGTTGATCAGGAGCTCCTGCACTCTGAATAGCTTTCACAACTGCTGCTGAGGCTTCTGTGCGGGGGACATGCTTCCTTCTTTCAAAGAGTGGAGTTACAAGTGCCTTTCCTAGCTGCTCCAGGAACCCCCTCCTCTTGTTCTGCTTACGAGACATCCAGGTCGGGTTGATCTCTCTCCAAATCACAAAGGCATTGTAGGAGGAAACATCAATGATGTTGTGGAAGATGACATGGGGCCAGCGGGCAGTCATTCTTCTGCAGCTATATGTTCCAATCACCTTGTCTAGGTTGTCCACACCTCCTTTGTTGCGGTTGTAGTCTTGGATGATGATTAGCTTCCTGTCCTCACGATCGCTAATGTCACCGTCTGTGTGCAGTGTGCTCAGAAGAACTGCATTCTTATTTTTCTTTGGGAAGTAGGAAACTAGAGTGGTGTTGGGCATGAAGTAACTTTGAGGAGAAGACCTCGCTCTCCTTTGATGCAAGCAGTGCAGGTGGGAGCTCAGGCTTGTTCTTTTGAACTGTACCAACCATGGTGATCTTCCTCTTCAGGAGCTGCTTTCCAAGTTCATAAGAGGTGAAGAAATTGTCACATGTCACATTGTGACCCCATCAGTCCCTCTTTCACATCAAGCACAACTCACATCACCTGGTTCTTCTCTGGGCATCCACTGGTCGGCTTCCCAGAATAGACTTGCATTTTCCAAGCATAGCTTGATTTGGCATCGCAAGCCACCCATGACTTGATCCCATATTTTGCTGGCTTGCTGGGCATATACTGCCGGAAAGGACAACGACCTTTGGACAAAAGACATTAGCATCAGTGATTAGTATCAGTGTCACAGAAAACAGTCAAAGAAATCGATAGTGAAAATCACTTTTATTACAAATATGAAAACAGATTACCTCTAAATGGAACCAGTGGCTCATCCACTGTTACGTCAGGCCCTGGATTGTAGAGGTAGGGCAGCCGCTCCACCCACTTGTCCCATACCTCTCTTATGGCTGCAAGTTTGTCTGTCACACGTCTTGCTGGTCTTGACTCACGGTCATCAAATCGTAGCAGTCTTTAGTAGATGTGAAAGAGTTTGAGTGGCATTGTGGCTCGGAAAATTGGCCTTCCACTCGCTACATCCCATAGACTAGCTGCAGCCTCACCTCGGGACCTGTATACACCTGCTAAGATTAGCAGCCCTAAGTAGGCCTGCAGGTCAATCTCATCCATCTTTCTCCAGCTGTCTCCATATTTGTGAAAACCCTCCAGATTTTTCATCTCCAGGATTATTTTTTCTATTGCTGGTGTGATAAACAGGTAGAATGTAGAAACAATGTCATGGGCATGACAAACGGCATACCTTGTGGGTCCTGGGGTCATCTTTATGACGTTTTGTTCTGCATGCCTGCCGTGTTGCTCATATGCTGCTGAGGACCATGTTATTTTGCCATTTTTTTTAAAGGAAAGTCTCTCTTTCAGCTTCAGGGGTTTCTTCTTCTTCTGAAGATGATTCATCATGCTCTGGGTTGTATTCCTCCCCATCTTCTTCTTCGGATACATCCTCCACTTATAACGCACTCTCATGGCTTCAGCACAGACAGAATTTGGGGTCCTGTTATCTGCAGCACCTTTATAACCTCTGGAAATAAACAGGTGGTCTTCTGAAGTCTGCGAGAACACCACCTGATTTGCCTTGTTTATTTCTGACTGATCTGAGACACAACTAAATAAATTGTTGAACTATACGAACAATTGAACAGAATTCTTTTGTAAAGAAGAAATAAGATAACGCAAAAATTATCACCAGGATAAAGGGGATTTCATTTTTAAAGAAACTGTATATATTTCGTACAAACAGCCAGCTGCTTAGTGTTTTGTTTGTGCAAGTGATGTAGTGTAAAGTTAGTCTTAACTATGACAGGATAAAGGACATGCAACACTGTCACCATGTGGTCAAGATTGGATTTCTGCTTGCTTAGGCCTGAAGGTATAAAAACAAAAGCATCACTCAAACTTACCATCTATATTCATAACTACAACACAGCAAGAAGAATATTTTTCTCTCTGGTTCAGTCCAATTTCAGTGGAGTGTGCATTATGATTATACTGTAAATGTTTTTGGATCGATTTTTTAAAATATCTAAATTGTTTTGGAACCATGTTTATTAGTCATTTTGCTTTAAAACAAATATACTTATTTGCAGTTTACTTTTGTTTGTTTTCATATAAAAATTGTTTAGGTGTCACTGACTTTGTAAATGTTGGTAATTGTAGTTTGGTAGTCATAAAGTTAATTGCTGTGTTTAAACAGCCATTGAGAAAACAAACAAACAAACAATTAAGCAACAGTCAAAATTACGTTATTCTCAATTTTGGACTTTTTTTTAATCAATTGCCTATATTCAAAAATCAAGAAGTCAAACACTAAAAGCAGATTTATTGTTTGTCATAATGAACCAGAGATTTACACTTAGTCATTTACATACTCATTTAGTTTATTATTATGGATTAAGGAATACCACTCCTTAAACCATTATAAACTGGGAAAAAAAAGTTTCAAATTTGCCTGAAAAAATAGGAAAATATTTATATAAAAAAAGAAGGAAATAAAATAAAAGATCAAATTGTACAAGTCATGTCTTTGAAATGTTAAGTTTTTACTGGGTTTTAAAATTTAAATGAAGATATTTGTACCTCCTCCCCCTGTTTATTGTTAGTTTATTAAATTTTTATACAAATTTACTTTGCAAGTACGATTAGAAGGTTTTTATTTTGAAAGTGTGCCACTTGGGAACGGAAGTAAATCACGGCAGTTCCGGTTGTAAAGATGTCGCCGTCCTTGTTCAATTTTGTCAACGCTAAAGAGAAATTTATGGTGAGAAATGAGATTTTGTATAAAATACAAAAAGAATACGTTTGATTTTATGAAAGACGTTGTTAATAAATTCATAACAAAGTTTTAATTTTGTCTGAAGGTTACGGTTAGTGTTTGATATGTTAGCATAGCATGTAGCAAACGAAGCTAAGCTAAAGGAAAGGCTTCCTAACGTTCTCATTGTCCTTCTCCCCGTCTCAAACAACTACAGACTGCTGCTAGAGATGCGTTAGATGGTAAAACCTGCAAGCAAGTAGTTAATGTGTTTAATCAGATCTCCGGGAAGTAAGTTTTTCTCCCGTCGACTTTTAATATGCTCATGAATGTTGTAAAGCCGAGTATAAGAAATGATGGCTTGTTGTTACAGTGAGACAGAAAAGAAGACCACACTAGACCAGGCTTTGAGGGGTGTTCTTGGTGATCTGATGGTAAGAATGAATGTTTTATTTTGTCCCTGTTGTTAAATAGTGTTATTTATTAGAAATCAAAACCCGTAACTAATATGTTTTTCTGCAGGATGAGCGGAAGGATAACTGTGATGATTGTCTGTCCCTCATCTACTTGAGTATTGACGCTGTCACTGAGGGTATGTCAGTCTTTTAATAATTAATAAGTCTATTATTATTATTGAATAAAATTAAATAAATCTGGATTGGAAATTTATTCAGTGTTTTTTTATTGTTAAAAAAAGGCCAGGCCAGTAATGAAGGACAAAAGTTTAAATAATAATAAAATCAGTATTCATGTCCTGATGCATGCTCAATAATCCAGGTAGATAAAGCTAACAAGGTTGAGTCAGGTCTTCACGACAGATTCTTCTTCGTTAAAATATTTAATCATAAAAGACTAAACGACCTTGATTCAGCCTTGTTAGATTTATTCATGTCGTTAAGATTTGGTTGCACTTTTGTTACTTACTTGTTGACTTTTGGAAAAACATGATCTTTAATTTCATTTGAGCACACATTCATTTTCTTACTGCCAAAATAAATTGCAATAATACCTCATGGGTAGAAGGAATGTGAGTCCTGTCCAAAGTCTCTTATAGCAATTTAAACATTAAATATTTGCAGTTTCTGCCTCTCTGTGTTTATGCAGGTATCTGCTCCGCTACGACTCCTTTTATTCTGCTTGGAGATGTTCTGGACTGCCTTCCTCTTGACCTGTGTGACAAAATATTCTCTTTTGTTGAGGAAAATGTTTCTACATGGAAATCGGTATTTAAATGGATACTTTTTCCCCCACTAAAGTCAGCTGAAACAGAAGATTTAATTATTGTGTCTGTGATCTCTTCTCTCCAGAACTCCTTTTATACTGCAGGGAAGAACTATTTGCTGAGGATGTGCAACGGTAAAGCTCTTATATGTAAGACTTTTTGTTGTAAACAAAACTCTGTTTCATGATTTTCTTATCCGTCTGTATAGATCTTTTAAGGAGGCTGTCCAAATCCCAGAACACAGTATTCTGTGGAAGAATCCAGCTTTTCCTTGCACGGCTCTTTCCTTTGTCTGAAAAATCGGGTAGGATTACAAATAATCTTTTTTTTTTTTATTTGACAAATTAAATGGGATCAACTCCACTGCTTTAAAAAAATTAAGTAGTTTAACTAATTACATCCATGTTTTTCTATTTTGTTTTCATCCAGGCCTCAACCTACAGAGCCAATTTAATCTGGAAAATGTAACAGTATTTAACAAAAATGAGCAAGAAACCACTTTTGGCCAGAAGGTGAGATGTTACTGTCGTGGAAAAGAGATTCCCAAACGATCAGGTGTAGACTTTTTCATATTTATTACAAAGCTTTGGAGAACAGCCAACAACTCACAGAAAATCAATGCATTTACAGGTACACTTATCAATGCCTTCATCTGTCTGAGGTTCTTCTGACCCGTTCTGAGATTCCTAAAGGCTGTTAGTTTATAGAACCTCCTGGTGTCAGTTTCCTGCCCCTCCTTCCCGTACTGTGCAGCTGTTATCAAAGCAGCTGTGCACAGAAATGATTAGGAGTTACCCAAGGCAAAAACACCTCATGGACTCTGGGAACATGTCACTGATTCTACCATATCAATCAAACCTTGAGTTGAGCAGAATAAAAATGATCTCCAACAGTCACATCTGTAGAGAATGATCATGGAAACATTTATCATTCACAATAACAGTAAAGGAGCAGAAAAGGTTATAAAGTCTATATTAATATAAGATATAGAGCATAATGCTTGCATATATACGCATTCCCTCGACTTGCTGCCTAATTTTTTATAAATATTTCAAATGAATGTCATAAAAGCTTAGCTTCTTTTCTAAAGTGCTGCTGTCTATATTGTAGACAGTTGAAAAGGAAGATGGTATGGAGGTGGAGGAGGGGGAGATGGGGGAGGATGATGCCCCTGCGCCATGGTGAGAGAAAGTGTCACACTGTAATTTGTCATGTTTGTGTTTTTTTTTTAATTTTTTATATACCTTTAAATAAATTTAATCTTTGTTTTTCTAGTTCTATTCCCATTGACTACAACTTGTACAGAAAGTTCTGGATGTTGCAGGACTACTTCAGAAATCCGTTGCAGTGCTACGAAAAATTCTTGTGGATAACATTTGTTAAGGTAATCCACCTCACTGTAAAGCCTGTAAAATACTTTATTACTGTAATATGCTTTTGTTCTTCATTTGACAGATTAATATCTTAAAAGAGGGTTAAAATAACAGTTTATCCCCTGCATTTGTTGCTTTTTTTTCTGCTCAGTACTCTGATGAGACCCTCGCTGTGTTCAAGAGCTACAAGCTGGATGACACGCAGGCTTCTAAGAAGAAGATGGAGGAGCTGAGAGCATCTGATGGGGAACATGTTTACTTCGCCAAGTTCCTCACAAGTGAGAAGGTGGGACGACTTCATGTGAACTTTTATACCATGTTTAAATAAGATGCATCCTTTATTGTATTTATTTCTGGATCACATCTTTATTAAATGTGTGTTTTTCTTTTTTTTAAAATCAGAATAATAATAAAAAAACTTCACTGTCTTTGTTTCGTCTCCTGCAGTTGATGGACTTGCAGCTCAGCGACAGCAACTTCAGGCGTCACATTCTTGTACAGTATCTCATCCTCTTTCAGTATCTGAAGGGGCAGGTCAAATTTAAAAGGTGAACCACGTCTCTGCAGTCACATTAAGCAGTAAATCTGTGGGACACCTTATTTGTGGACAACTCATACCGTTTTCTTTATGCTTTTGTTTTCTTGCAGCTCCAGCTGCGTCTTGAATGATGACCAGAATACATGGATTGAAGATACAACTAAACTTGTGTATCAGGTCAGTTATAAGATGTAAAGACTCAGTTTGAACAGTTCAGAAGGGACTGTGTGCATTTCTGTATTAAATTAGATTCAGCCAGCAGAACAAGACATGTACTGGTCTAAATAACAGCAAACCATGGGACGCAAAATACTCTGATCCGAATAAACGAAGACAGAAATATTAATATTCTAAAATTAGTCACACACAAGGTAATAAAAACAAATGATACAATCAATAAATGTTTTCATTGAAGCCCAATGTTTTGTAGGCCAGTTTCCTTCAGACCAGTATATTATACTTTATTTAAAAAGTATTACTTATTTGGACTGTTTTGCAGTCTGGATTTCTTCGTGAAAGCAACAACAGTATATTTCATAGTTATCTTAATAGCAGGTGTAAGATGTTATTCTCTTGAACAGAAATATTCTTCACACATGGGTTCATAACATTTTTTTTAAGCTTTCTGACTCCAAATAAGGTCTAACCCTTTACATGTTAACTTGTAGCTGCTGAGAGAAATTCCTCCTGATGGAGACAAGTTTGCCTCCATGGTTGAGGTAAGAGTCACCCTTCAGACATACAGACATTAATAAATTAATTCACATGTATGGTCTGTCGTGTGTTACTGTTGGAGTTCTGTGTGCTCTGGTCAGACTGAAATGTTTTTGACTCTGAATCTCATCTTTGGCAGCATATCCTCAACACAGAGGAAAACTGGAACGCCTGGAAAAACGAGGGATGTCCGAGCTTTGTTAAGGAAAGGTACTGAGTAAAACTTTAGAAGTGGAGGATGATGAACACTTTCCTCGAGTTGTAGAATAGAATAGAAATAAAATAGAAACAGCCTTTATTGTCCCACGGATGGGAAATTCAAGTGTAACAGCAGCAACAGATAAAAAGATAAAAAGATTTCACACAAAAGTTCCTAAATGTTAATAAACAATACAAACAATACATGTATTAGGTGATTGGTCAGTTACAACAAAAGAGTGTGAAGAGTGAACATACAGTAGCTTGCCAAAATGACAAGTGGTTGTTTTTTTTTTCTTCCTCCCTGGAACAGAACAGTAGATGAGAAACCGAAAAGGCCCACCAGGAAAAGACAAGCTCCAGAGGACTTCCTTGGAAAAGGGCCAGACCGAAAGATTTTCATGGGAAAGTATGTTATCTAACGAGGAGCGGGCTGTGCTGAGTGATCCGAACCTAGTAAAATAACAAAAACAAACCTGCCCATTGGAAACATTGTGAAATAGTGCATTTTTTTATGATTAGATCATATTTATTAGTGAAAATACCTTCTTTTTTTTAACTTCATGAGGAGTTGTTTATGTGGAGTACAGTGCATCTGGAAAGTATTAGCAGCGCTTCACTTTTACACATTGTTTTGTTACAGTTTTATTCCAATTTTTATTAAATTCATCTCTTTCCTCAAAACTCTACACACAATATATGACCATGTGAAAAAAAAAACAGATTTTTGCAAATTTGTTAAAAACAAATCTAAGAAATCACATTTACGTCAGTATTCACAGCCTTTGCTTTATACTTTGTTGATTCATCTTTGGCAGCAGTTACAGCCTCGGGTCTTTTTGAATTTGATGCCACAAGCTGAGTACATCTATCTTAGAAAGTTTGTCCCGTTCTTCTTTGCAGTACTTCTCAAGCTCTATCAGGTTGGATGGAAGTTGTCTGTGCAGAGGGTTTCAGATATCTAGATGTTCAATAAGATGCAAGTGTGGACTCTGGCCTGGCCCCTCCAGGACATTCACAGAGTGGTCCTGAAGCCCCTCTTTGAGATCTTGGCCATGTGCTCTGGGTTGTTGTTCTGCTGAAAAATGAACCGTCGCCCCAGTCTGAGGTCAGGAGCTCTCTGGAGCAGGTTTTCATCCAGGATGTCTTTGTACATTGCTGCATTCATCTTTCTTTCTATCTTGATGAAACTGCCAGTTCCCGCTGCTGAAAAACATCCCAAAGCATGATGCTGCCACCACCATGCTTCACTGTAGGGATAATATTGACCTGGTGATGAGCGGTGCCTGGTTTCAGAATCAGAATAAACTTTATTGTCATTGCACTGAGGTACAACGAGAACATGTACGTACAGTCGTCCGAAAGATGGGCGGAGTGCACGAAGCTGCTACTATAAAAAGTGCGGCCCTCTTATTCTTATTCGGAATAATATTTTGATTAGATGAGAAAAGTGAAGAAAACATGAGAGACGGTATAAAAAAAGATCTCTCACGCCGTGTTCTAGACAGGGCACGATTTGAGGCATCAAAAGTTTCCTCCAAAGAGTTCAATCTGTCTCATGAGACCAAATAATTTTGTTTCTCATGGTCTGAGAGTCCTTCAGGTGACTTTTGTCAAACTCCAAATGAGCTGCCATGTGCCTTTTATTAAGGAGTGGCTTTAGTCTGGCCACTCTACCATACAGACCTGATTGATGGATTGCTGCAGAGATGGTTGTTCTGGAAGGTTCTCTCTTCACAGAGGAATATTGGAGCTCCAACAGAGAGACCATTGGGTTCTTGGTCACCTCCCGGGCTAAGAACCTTCTCCCCCATTTGCTCAGTGTAGACGGCTGGCCAGCTCAAGGAAGAGTCCTAGTGGTTCCAAACTTCTTCCATTTGTGAATGATGGAGGTCACTGGGCTCAGTGGGACCTTCAAAGCAACATAATATTTTCTGTATCCTTCCCCAGATTTGTGCTTCAAGACAACTCTCTCAGAAGTCTACAGACCATTCCTTTGACTTCATGCTTGGTGTTTGAGCTCTGACATGCACTGTCAGCTGTGGCACCTTCTACAGACAGATGTGTGCCTTTCCAAATCAAGTCCAATCAGCTGTATTTACCACAGGTGGACTGTATTTAAGTTGTAGAAACATCTCAAGAATGATCAGTGGAAACAGGATACATCTGAGCTCAATACTGAACTTCATACTAAAAGCTGTGAATACTTTTGTAAATGTGATTTCTTAATTTTCCATTTTTAATAAGTGCAAAAATCTTAAAATGTTCACATCATATTAGAGTATTGTGTGTAGTTTTGAGGAAAGAGATGAATAAATTTTGGAATAAGGCTGTAACATCAGGTCTCTCTTGTAAATGAGTCCTCGAGGCTCAATGGGATTTACCTGTTTAAATAAAGGTTGAATGAAAAAAAAAACATAACAAAATGTGTAAAAAGTGAAGCGCTTTCCATATGAACTGTATTTTCTAAGGTAAATTAAAAAAAAAAAACCTTTGTGTTTTGTTAGTGATGAGTTGACTCGACTGTGGAACCTGAACCAGGACAACATGGAAGCGTGCAAGTCCGACAGCAGGTCAGTATATTTCATTTCAGCCATTTGTATACATCATAAAATAGCTTTTTATAGCCAATATGCATCTTTTTCAGAGAGTTCCTGCCATCGCTGGACGAGTTCTTCACTGAAGCCATTGAGCAGGCTGACCCCGCCAACATGGTGGAGGAGGAGTATAAGTAAGTTAGCAAATAAAATCATTTAATGATCTTCAGGGGCCTAATTCCTGTTGTTTTACCTGAATCATTGACGTTCTTAAATCCTTTCAGGGTTGTGCGTAACCCAAACTATGGCTGGCGAGCTTTGAGGCTGCTGTCCAGGAGAAGTCCTCACTTCTTTCAACCAACAAACCAAAAGTTTAAGAGCTTGGCGGATTACCTGGACAGCATGGTTAGCAAACTGGCCAAAGAACTACCGGTGAGGGATTTGTTTATATCTTAATAACTTAATTTTCATAAATTTAAAAGGAATAAACCGATTAATATTCATGTTTGTTTAAAAAAAAATGCAGAAAGATATTCCCTCAGAAGAAATCAAGACTGGGGAAGAGGATGATGATGAAAATGGAGACAATCTTCTGAAAGACAGCAACGACAGTGAGTTTAATTCAGACAGCTTTAATCAGAAGGATTTGTCATTTTAGATGTACAGTAGTCCCTCGTTTATCACGGCGAATCTGTACCCGGAAGCCCCGTGATAATCGCATGGTAAATGAAAATTATCAACCTCATTTTCATTTATCGGCTTTATCATGTCTTCGTGTCTCTCGTTCGACTGAAGACACTGGATGACAAAAGGCTCAACTCCGGTGCTCTTCACTGACCCCTCCCTTTCTCTTTAAAATCCATTTTAACCATCCAAAATTGTGTTTTTGGATCGTTAAAAGCAGCTAAGCTGAGAAGCTAAGCTACGAGCTAAGTTAACAGGCCGACCTCGGGAATAAACCTCTGTCTTGTCGAAGCTCCAAAATTCACGGCTGACACCTGTGCCTTCATGTAAAAAGTTGTTTTTCTTTGCAAAAAGAAGCTGAGAACTTGTTTACTGAAATTTTTATTATTAACAGCTTTGTGTGACAAATGCTATGCTAAAGATCTCAAACCGTACCGAGCATCCGCCATGTCAGCCCATGTCACGTCAAGGGCCCTCCCTCCCATTTTTCTTAAAGAGACACGCCTTCCTTTGTTTCAACCAGTCTTATACTGCCATCAGGTGGTCAAAAAAGGTACTACACCCCAAACAATATTTCTTCTAAAATTTGACAATTAATTATAGTTAAATTTCAAACAATAGTATCGTTTATCGCAATAATTTCTGAGACCATTAATCGACCATCAAAATTTGTTATCGTGACAGGCCTAGTCATGGCACCCGTCTCCTGAACAAGCTGAACAGTTTGATACATGGACGGTTAAATTGGCACAAAACATGCAAAAGTAGGTAAATTCTAAAAAATCGTATGGGGGAAAATACAAAAACAGGAAAACGGTGTGATCACAAACTGGACAAAACTAAACGGATAAAGAGAAAAGATTAATTAATTTAGAAGCAGAGACAAAAAGTGAGAGGTCTTGAAAACTAAAACAAACAATCCATCATTTGTCTCTCCCTCCATTGTTGCTTAGCTCCACTTAAAGGTCGGCATCCTTTTCTTCTTGTGGCGTCGGGAGGTGAGGAGCGACAAAGTGGAGAAAAAGACTTAAAGAAATAAAGGGAGGGTGAAGATTTATCTGTCAGGGAGAACAGGAGGAGGAGGAGTGGCAGCGAAGACGGTACTTGAGAATTCTTGATCATCGCCACAGCGACCAGTCACCTGGCAACGGGGTACACAATGGCTGCTGTAGCCTTGGCAACAGCTTGGTCTCCGTCGGGTACACGGGGAGGCAGGTAGACAGATGGAGTGATATGGAGAGAAGTGTGAGACTGACGGATGCAAGAAGAGGAGGAGGAGATGATGAAGAGAGGGAGCAGGTGTAAACCGAGAGCCGGTATATCACACCTCAACAGGTGCAGAGGAGCGGCCAAATGGGTGTAAAGACATAATGAGAAATGTAATGAGCTACTGACCAGAAGAATGGGCCGCCACATGTGATCCTGCACGAGGGGGGGCTGTTTGTAAGCGCTGTTTATGGAGATGCACCAATTTTATTTGTTGAAATGCACCAGCTCCGGTTTCCAGTGACGATTTTAGGTTTCAAGCTCTGCCATGCCAATTTTGATTTTGAACGACTTTCCTAAAAAAACAAAACCCCGAGTTCACATTGGGAGATTTGACAGCAGTCCTAGAAAAAAAAAACATTTATTGTGAAAGAATTCTAAGAACATTTTAGCTCATAAGCTTAAATCCATGGTAACTGGTTCACCGACAGCTGGTTTAGGACTTTTATGACATAATATGACCTTTAGACAATAAGAACATTTCTACAAAACTTTGTTACTTCTGCGGCCACCGTTTTCAGATGTGAGTCCATCCCGGACTCTGCGTCCTCCCCCTCTTTCTAGTTTGAATCTAATAAAATGACTTCAACACCAGCGGTTGGTTTCCATTCATCGTTTTTATTTTGTCAAATTATTTTGACGTAAGGGATTTTTCCTATGGTAGAAATCACACGAGCCAGCATCTTTTAAGTCTTACAGCTCACAGTTTGACTTGGGTTTCAACTGAAGTTTTCTAATATAAAGAGCTACACAGTGCGACGTGGACAAGTCCTCCATGTTTTCTAAAATCACACAGTGTGATGAGCTTAAGAACTATAATTAAAAACATACAAAGCAGTTAAGTGAAGATTACTTCTGTAGAAAATCCCCGTTTTTTTCCTAAAGGCTTTCATGTCTTCCCTCTAACTTCACTTTTAAGCATCTTGGATATAAAAATGTCAACTTTTGAGTCTTCTTTTACCGTCACAAAATCACTACTACCGTATTTTCCTGCCTTTAAGTCGCATCGGTCCAAAAATGTCTAATAATTTGGAAAAATCCATAAATAAGTCGCTTCGCCGTAGAAGTTGCATCTGTTATTCGTCATCACTGACAACCTGGACATGAGGGCCGGTGTTGTGCCAAAACTGGATCGGCTGCTAATGGCGGCCACAGGAGTGTGCACTGGAGGACTTTTATCAAGAATTTAACAAGATTAACACTTAAAAAACAATTGCTTGTTTGCTCGAAATTTTAATAAAGTTGCGTCTCAGTTGAACTTTTCCTAAATAAATGAACTTCAATGGTCAAATTAGCGCCATTTCGCAAGAGTAGCACCACGAAATGAAGCTGATTTAATGTTCTGGATGAAGATGGCAAACTATGGCAAGCCAGTTATGTCATTAATAGCCACTTTTTACCTATTATATGACACTATATCTCGAGTGCCATCTAGTGGCTGAAAATGGTAGGGTTCAATATCGTCAGTCAGAATGAATGAAAACGATCATATTGGTTTATAAATATGGGGGAAAAATCATAAATAAGTCATTTCTGCGTACAAGTCACAGGGTATGCAAATTAGGTTAAAAGGTGCAACTTATAGGCCAGAAAATACAGTAAATTGTGGTGTGACCAGAGATTAATAAATATATATAATATATTATATTCATGGATCAAGATGGGAATCAGCCCGTTTCACCAGATGAGCCGTCAACTCGTCCAGTTTCTTTTTTGTCACGGCATTTATTTTTTTGGCCTTTTTCCGTGGTCTGGACTCGGTCTTACTTGAGTTGACAGGACACGGCTTCAGAGTCTTTCCGTTGGGTGGTCCCTCCCACTTCCAGTTCCGTTCTTACACGCCTCAGCTGAGGATCCAAGCAAGTCGAGCTGAACTTAAGATTTGACATCAGCGTTGCTTTAACCCTCCTGCCGTCTTCTTGACCCACGAGCAGCAGGAGGGTTAATACTGGGAATTTGTTGTGCCCAGCTGATGAAGCCTTAAACTTCTGCTTGTTTTTTTTGGGTGTGTCCGTGACATCTTTAGGTGACCTTCAGCTCAACCTTCAGGTTTGACACAGCTACAGCTGAAAAGCAAACTATCCAGACGTGCAAACTCTTCCATTGTAGTTTAAAACGACTCCAATAGACTCATCTTATATTACAGATCTTATTGTTCCAAACTTTCTTAACAGAGCCCTTCGCTCTCAGACTTCAGGTTTACTTGTGGCTCCTAGAGTTTCTAAAAGCAGAATGGGAGGAAGATCTTTCAGTTCTCAGGCTCGTCTCTTGTGGAACCAACTTTCAGTTTCTGTCCATGAGGCTGACGCATTGTCCAGTTTTAAGACTTTCCTTTTTGATAAATCCTATAGTTGGGGTCAGCTTGGGTTTCCTGAGCTATTCCTAACTTATGCTGCTATAGGCTTAGACTGCTAGAGGACTAAATGACCACATTTCCTCACTCTGCTGCTTCTTTACTTGCTCTACTCTGTAATGATTTCTATCCTTAACATGTTTTTGTCTTTCCTCCTTAGAAAGTTCACCTGGACCTGTTCTGTGTTTCTTTTTCTACTTCCTGTTCCTCTCAAACCCAGCTGGTCGAAGCAGATGGCCGCTCGTCCTGAGCCTGGTTCTGCTGGAGGTTTTTTCCTGTTAAAAGGTAGTTTTTCCTTTCCACTGTTGCCTTTGTGCTCGCTCAGGATGGGAAGCTGTGATGAAGTGAAGATTCAACACACTCTGCTGGCTTCCATCCATCCATCTATATATATATCTATATATCTATATATCTATATGTATATATAAATACTAAAATAACTACTGCTTACTATTCCTACTTTGCAGTTTTTCACCTCTCACGGGTTTTCAGGGTACGGGTCACCCGCGATAAACGAGGTACTACCGTTTATATAAAAATGAGGACTTGGGGCTCTTCTGGTCCGGCCTGGGGATATTTCTGCTGAAATAACCGTGTCGTGAAACAGTTTTCAAAGGTTTCTAAACTAGTTATATGTTATCTCAAGTCAGTCTGGTCAGAATTAAACTACTTCTTCAAACGGAGGATCATTAAAGCTCCATCTGCGACAGGTAAGATAGTGATCGTTCACAACTTTTTCCACTGAATTCCACTTTAACAGCTCTGGACTTCCTCCTTAAGGCCCAAAATCGCAGGAATAAACTTATTTGTGTGCTTGTGTTGGGACGGGCGGCTGAGATTGTTTGTGTGTGTGTGTGTGTGTGTGTGGTATTGTGCAGCCAATAAGCCCATTAGCCTCAGGTTAAATGATTTACAGCTTCAGCTTTAAGCCCCTCCTGCAATCTCATTCCAAATGCCCCTGTGTCTATCTGTCTATCTGCCTACTTTATCTCAATGATTACCCCCCCCCCC